TTTACCGGTTCTCACGGTCTCTTCGCTTGCGGATTTCTTATATTTTTCCTTCTACCCTGAAGATGGAGGCGATACGTTCCTCCGAAACGTCGGTTAACACCACATATACACGGTGCCAAATCCCAGAAGACTGCTTTTTTTTCAGGTTATTTCTATTTGAAATTCAGAACCCCTCCAACCCCCTCTCTAAGTTCATCTTCATTAGGTTCGAACCCGATGTCTGAAGCTGTTTACTTCCGAATACAGTAAGTTACAAAATAAAAGTAACTGCGCTTATTTTGCTTATAATTATTTTTTTAAATAGACGCATAAATTAATACTGCGGCAGACCCCCGAAAGAACGCTCAAATACCCACTGAGTCAGGCTGAGTACATCGCAGTGTGAGTTTGGACCTAATGGCGAAAAATAAATAATTTGACCCTGCCAGCAGTCGAAGCCTGAGTAAAATTGTTTCAATTAGGTATATTATAATCTCTGTTCCTACGGATACAGTTGAAGAATGTGTTTGTCATGTCCTGTATATTTCCTTTGACAAAATTTTATGATGAACATAGAAATAGGGATAGGGGCTTCTCTGCCTGTGAGTAACATCATGTGCTTTGTGTTTGTTTCTGTAACTATCTCTTAACCCAAATAAAAGTAAGATATTCTTTGGCCGCGCTATAGCTCAAGCGGTTAGTGGCTGGCTTCCCACCGCGGCGGCCCGGGTTCGATCCCGGTTCTGGTCAAGTGGGATTTGTGATGGACAAAGTGGCACTAGGGCAGGTTTTCTCCGAGTACTTCGGTTTCCCCTTCCAATCTTTATTCCACTAATTGATCCACAATCACCCTCACCTAACATCTGGGGCTGGTACAATAGGCCAGAAGTGTCCGCAGTACAAGGGACTTAGTCCCACCTAGCAATAAAAAAAAGATATTTTTGAAAATGGTTGTATATTTATCGAACGTCTTGGATAAACAGCTCCAGGAAACTGCTAGTGACAGTGTACGTCTTAATTTGTATGATTTTATCTCTCACATATTGTGACATTACTCCTCAGTGCCGAAATAGAGGGCCCAGAAAAGTCGTTCTCGGGACTGAACTCTTACAGAGCCGCCAGATGATAAAATGTTGTTACATGTACATCCATTGCTAGGCAACGGGTTGGTAAACACGTTCCCACAGAAGCAAACAGGAGGAACAATAGGACGTCTGTTGCTAGACATCGAAGCTGTAAACACACATCCTTAACAATAGAAGACTGTGTTTTCTGTGGGCTTCGTGCAGAGGAGTTATCTTGACAATCGACGCTTTAAGTTCAGTTGAAACTAGAAGCTAGGAGCAGTTGAGAGTACAAGGACAAGAGTGGAGCGCGTCCTAGTGAATTGTGAAGATAATTGAGTACAGATTAGTACAGAGGAGTACAGAGTGATTGAAGACGAAATAACAACAAGACTTCATAGTGATTTGAATTCCTAGATTCTGCGTTTAGATCCGTTGCCAGGAGACAAGTGAAGACGGAGAACCTTAGTGCGGGTGCAACAGTGAACTGCAAGTGTGTAGAACAGCGATGGTGTTATAATTGAGTCTGATTAAGAGAACTTGTAACCGAAGTGCTAATAAATCCAGTCATCCGATATAGAGCCCGTTGTTTTCGTCACGCGTATTTATACAGAGAACACAAAGGAATACCTGATAGGCACAATCAAGGAAACAACACACCAACGAAATACAAAAACAGCCGCATTTCAAAAGAGATATGAAGAAGAAAACACTAATGACGTAACGAAAAAAATTATATTCGATTAGTTCGAAGTGCATTAGACTCCTTACAAAAATGTTGCCTGAAGATGGTTATACGTGTATATGGCCGAAACATGTAGCACTGTGATAATGCATATGTATTCTAATATTTTAATAATCTTAATAACATTT